CACTGACACGGAGGGCATCACTCATCCTCGTCTGAGCATCCTGAATCTCAAAGGTGGGTCCGAGGAATGGGCTACACAGATTCCTTCCTTCCTAGCCTGCGGCCAACAGCAGTGAGTAGTGTGGTCCTTGGCTGTGCCACCCAGCAATTTGTACTCATTCATTCAGGCACATTCTGACTCATTATGGCAGTTCCATGTAGTGGAGGCAATCTCAGGCAGCTTACAATCTAGATGGGGGAGACAGACAGTAAACACAAACACAATAAGTAAATTCATTCAGCAAGTTAAAGGAGATATGGGCTATGGGAAAAATAGATTAGGGTAAAAGGAATGGAGGCACAAGTGGCAATTTCTAACAGATTGGTTAGGACCATGGTTGGCAATCTACGGCTCGTGAGCCACATGCGGCTCTTTGGCCCCCTGTGTGTGGCTCTTCCACAAAAATACCATGGCCTGGGCGAGTCTATTTTGAAGAAGTGGCGGCATTAGAAGAAGTTTAAGTTTAAAAAATTTGGCTCCAAAAGAAATTTCAATCGTATTGTTGATATTTGGCTCTGTTGATGAATGAGTTTGCCGACCACTGGGTTAGGACAAGCATCATTGAAAAGCTAACATTTGAGCAGAATTGGGGAAGGAGAGAGAGTTAGTCAGTCATTGCTGGGTGGACAAGTCCTTCAGGCCCTGGACCACCAGACACTGGCCCAGGGCCCCTGAGGTGTTAAGTGTGGACTTGTCTCTCCTCATATCCAACTGGCATTGGAGAGAAAGATGCAGAGGCTCCCGACACTCAGGCTCTGCTTTGAACATTTCAGAGTGGCACTTTGCACTCTTGACACCCTCCTGCTCCTCAGGGAACCACATCCGCTCGGTGACAGGTCTGGACCCCGAAAAGCTGATCAGCCTGCACACACTGGAGCTTCGAGGGAACCAACTGGAAACCACAATAGGAATCAATCTTCCTATGCTGAAGAACCTCTTCCTGGTAGCTCCCTGGGTCAGAGGGTGGGTGGTGCAGGGAAGACGGCACTGTGCTGGGGGCCAGGATTGCCTGGCTTCTAGGCTCAGCTACTAACTTTGTCATCATGATGATAATTGGCATCATTTACTGAGATGCCAGATGCTGGGGCAAAGCAAAGTTAAAACAAACAAGGGCCTAACCACTTGGCATTGCCGGTAACACACCATGTGTGGGTAATACAGAAACAGTTTGCTTTGACAGAGGTAGCAGCATAATGTGCCCATAACTGAGGATAAGACATTTAGGCCATCTAAATGTCTAGCCATTTAGACTCTTGAGCTTCCTCATTGCAGGGTGGGGCTGAAGTAATTTCTCCTCAGAAGAGCAGTGGGGCTCTGAGACCCAGGGTGGGTTAAAACATTGCCTCCTTAATCAGAGGTGGCTTTGGTGGGATGAGCAGTCAGTAGGAAGTTACTACTGACCTTTCTCTGGTTGGGCAGTTTCTCCTGGATTTCTTTACTCTCATTACCCATCTCTACTCCCCTGGTGACCCCTCCCTATCTACCTCTTAGTAGATTTCCTCTTCTGCTGCATCTCTTTCTGACTTCTCTTCTTTCCCTATTCCTCTCCCCTCTCCCAATATATCTACTGTATCCTGGAATCTAGGCCCAGAATTTCTTGAAGAGGGTGGAAGGCTTGGATAACCTAAAGAACCTCACTACCTTGCATCTTAGAGACAACCATATTGACAGTCTGACTGGCTTCTCCAAGGAACTGAAAGCACTGCAGTACCTCAACCTGAGGTATGCACCCACCTCCAGGCCCCACCTTGCTCCTTCCCCTCATTAGGAGCAGCTTTTGACTGTGTTCTTCCCAGTCCCAATCCCCCAATCCTAGCCCATTCTCAGATTCTCACCTCATCCTCCATCCTGATCTTCATCCCTCCTTTCCTTACTTTTTTCTGCATTATAACAATCTTAATTATAACACTGAGATCTTTATTGCCTGAGACCCCCAAGTCCTTATGCATTCAACCCACAGTTACTGAGAACGTGCTATATGCCACCTCCTGTGTTGTGTTTCAGGAACATTTAAAGACACCAGAGATAGTCCCTCTTATCCTGAGCCCCACCTATAAGGTTCCTTTCCTTATATAAAACATAAGATGTGCTCAGATGTGAGCAGAGAATATTTGAAAGGGAATCTCTAGATAGAAAAGCACTCAGGATCAAAGATTTTCTCTCAGCAATTCTTGCCTGATGGAAGATTTTGTGTGTGTTCCCTTAAGCAAAGATGTAAGAAAACTGCCTCCTTAGTCAACAAGGCCTCTTTAGTCAATACTGGCAATGGAGCTGGGCAGCGTGGCTCAGTGGCTGAGCATCAACCTATGAACCAGGAAGTCACTGTTTGATTCTCAGGTTCCCGGTTGATCCCTGGTCAGGGCACATGCCCAGGTTGTGGGCTTGATCCCTGATCCCCAGTATGGGGCATGCAGGAGGCAGCCAATCAATGATTCTCTCTCATCATTTATGTTTCTATCTCTCCATTCCTCTCTGCAGTCAATATATAAATATATATTTTAAACAGACACGCACACAAAAGACTGGCCCTGGAAACAGAACAGAATCTTCAAGTAGGAGAGGTGGTTGCACCTTGAACCCCAACTCCAACCTTAATTTAATTCATGGAGCAATCTCTTGCTAATTAGCGCTGCCACGTTGGTCTGGAAGGTGGAGGGGCTTCTGTGTTCCTGTCAATAGCCTAGGCAGGGATGGTGGACCCTTTTCAGTGGCTGTTCACTGGGGAGTTTGGAAGTAAAAGTAGTGGAGCTGCATTGTCTCAACGACTAGGAGGTGCCTCTGGGGCCAAAGATGCTAAACCTCCTGCAATGCACAGGGCAGTCCAGCACCAAGTGCATGCAGCGCTCCCAGTGAGAAATACGGGTGAGGTTCAGCACCTCCATTGAGATAAAATGGAAACATTTAAACCTGATTTCACAAAGGCTTGAAGCAAACACATGAAAATAACTGTTCGAGGAGACATATTAGAAGATGAAGCTTGTTCTTCAGGCTGGGAGGCCCCAGCCCACCCTCACCTCTAGGTTCCTTCCAGTGGGGAGCATGACACAGCACTCATTACCTTGAGCTTCAATCCCAGTCCCTTTTCACTGTCCCAAGTCCTTCTAACCTCTGATTAGGTGTGATTGACACAGAAGTCTGTCCCTGCAAGGGAGATTCCCCTCTCCTTCCCAACTACAAGACTGGGTTGTGACCTAGCTTTGCTGCTTCAGAAGGTAAATAGGACACATTACGGAATAGAATATGGCACTTAGGGATTCCTTGAAGGACAGAAGCAGGACAGGACAGCAATTCTGCAGCAAATCTGGCAATGCTTGGCAGGTCGATCTACAGTGCTTCTAGGGAAGCTGGAGCCCATGGGAGAGTCCCCCAGAAGCTCCATTCATGGCAGCTAGCCTCCAAGATCATCATTCCATGAACCCCTCCTGACTGCACCCACAGGGGCAACATGATCTCCAACCTGCAGGAGCTCACCAAGATCCAGAACCTGCCCAAGCTTCGAGCCTTGGTGCTGCTGGACAACCCGTGTACAGATGAGACTGACTACCGCCAGGAGGCCCTGGTGCATATACCACAACTGGAACGTCTGGACAAGGAATTCTTTGAGGAGGAGGATCGGGCTGAGGCCAATGAGATTCGCCAGAGGATGAGGGAGGAGCAGGAGCAGGACGCTGAGGGTGATATGGGACCGGACCAGCCATAGTTGCAGCAGCAGTTCTCGCCATCACGGATTGTAAGGAAGCCAGCAGGGAGGCAGGAAGAGGAGGTCAGGGGCCTGGCACTTAGGGGGAGAGCGAAGCTGCTGTGGGAGGAAGTGGGTGAGGAAGGGATGAATCAAAGACAACCCTTGGAGAGATGAGAGTTAGGGGTCAGGGGGTGTCTCAGGGTGAGGAGGAAAGACCAGCGGGACTTAGGAGGAGCTGAGGAAAGGAGATACATCAGGAAGCTGGAAGAATACGTGAAAAGAATTGGGGAGGGAGGCATAGCTGTTGGTGTGAGGTGGCAGCCATAACTGAGCTAAAGAGGATCAGCTGCGAAGGCCAGGGCTGCAGCAAGGTGGTGGTGGTGGGAGGGGGAGAGGTGGTGGTGGTGTATGAGGAATGCAGCTGGGCCTAGGAGAGAAGGCAGCAGAGCAAGAGCCTGCACTAAAAATCTGAAACTAAAAATAACAGGACACGGGGTAGGGGGAGAAAGGAGGGCAGGGTGAGGCAGAGGCGCTGAGCAGATGAGCCCAGGGAAATGTAGCAGCTGGGCATAGATGGGGGCAGAGGCCGCAGTGGGAATGCAGTGGGCCCAGAGGGTTTACTTCTGTTCCTTCCTCCAGGGGATCAAAGACACCGGCCCCCAAGACCTGAGAAGCTTCCATTGGCAGGACCCACCACAGGCACGCCCTCATCCGGAGACAGCGGCTGACCTCTCAGCCCTGACCTGGGGTTCATCACAGCCTGCCCTGCCGCCCAGGCTCTGTGGGCACCTGGGCAGAGGGGTGGGTGGGCTCGAGCTCTGCCTGTAGCCTAGAAGTGGGCATCTTCAGGCAGATCCAGTTGCCTGCGGAACAGCTCAGTTTTCGAATAAAGAGATATTTTGATACTTTTGTGACTTGACCGGGTACGGGAGAGCCTATCGCGGGCTTTCCTGGCTGTGGCGGACCTCAGGAATCAGATTACTCTGCGGCTGTGCCAGTTACTTTCCAGGGGGTCGGGTCGTGGGCAGCAGCGTGCGTGGGCGCTGGAAAAGGCAGGCTCTGGGTTGTCTCCAGTCCCTCACGCATCACTTTCCCCCTCCCATTCCCCCACTGCACCCCCATCGGCCCCCACCGGCCCCCCACCCGCACTCCTCCATGCGCCTCTGCCCGAGGCTCCTGACTCACGGGGGCTCCAGGTCACATGCGCCCGCCCGGCCCTATCGGTGCCGGCCCCCCTCCCACCCCCCGCCCGCCGCCCGGAGCCGCAGGCGCCACCGCCGCCGCCACTCCCGCTCTCTCTGCGCCGCCGCCGCCGCCACTGCCACCGCCACCGCCACCGGCTGAGTCTGCAGCACCGAGGTGAAGCCCTCCCCGGCCCTGCGTCCCTCGGGCCTGTGCCCGGCCCTGCGCCCCCGCTAGCTCCCCTGGCCGCGCGCATCTCTCCCGGGCGCTGCGCACCTGCTCCTCCCCGCGCCTCCCCGCTCCCTCCTGCCCTGCCTTCCCGCTCCGCTCGACTCCTTCTCATTTGGGCTCCAACCCTTCTCCACTCTGGCCTGTCCCGCTGCATCTCCGCTCCTGTGGACATTAAGTTTGGGGTCTTTCTCCCTCCCCCCCCCCCCCCCCCATCACACGCATCCGGCTGTGCATTTTTATCCTGCACGTCCTCCTGGCTTTGCTGCTAAGGGTTGTCTTCCTCCCCTTCCGAAGCATCCTCTGAGTCTAGACTCCCTCGCCCCCTCCTCCCCACTGCGCGCCGGGCCGGAGGGGAGGATCTGTCTTGGGGCGGCGGGAGGAAGGGCCCATCCCGGCCTCACCGCTCGGGTCTCTCCTCCTCCTCCCTCCCCGCTGAGACCCCCAGGGCCGGAGGGCTTTCCTAGGACCCTCTCCAGACCTCTGCACCGTGCATCGGTGGGAGAGGGACGCACGTTTGGGAGATTGGGTCCTGGGCGTGGGGGCTGGGTGTTAAGTTGGGTGGGACAGGGCTTTGAGTGAAGGCTTCAGCTGTGCAGACTGCCCACCCTCTTGGTGGCTCCAAGGAGAAAGGCAAGCCTGGCAGCCATTCCTCCCTGAGGAGGTCCGGGCGAACCCCCCCAGCCGGCTGCCCAAGCTGCGGAGGGGAGAGGGAACCGCGGCCCCCTCCCCCTCACTGCGGTGTCCTCCCGCCTCAGAGGTGGCTCTTACCCTGCCCCGCACTGCAGTGACCTCCCCTTCCTCACTGCATTGACCTTCTCCTATCCCCCTGGAAGGGGTGGGGGGATCCCCTCTGCAGCCTGTGGTAGCGGCCTGCCCCTCCCCACCCCCACCCACTGCGGTAACCCTTTTCCCATCCTCCCTAGCCTCTGGCCCCGCCCACCATCTCAGGCTCCACCCCTCTAAGCCTCTTACCTTTCTCCTTTACTTCCCTTCCACCCAAGGAGATCCCAGCCATCATGTCGATAACGAAGATCTGGGCCCGGGAGATCTTAGACTCCCGTGGAAACCCCACTGTGGAGGTGGATCTCTACACTGCCAGAGGTACTGAGCTGGCCCGGACCGAGCCCAGCCCTCACCCCAACCCCACCTCAACCGCACCCCACCCCTCAGTGCTGCGTTTGCCCTGGCCTAAGGGGAAGCTCCCTTGATTCCCAGCAGGGATGGGGTGCTGGTCAGGCTCAGGCTTGGATTGTGGGGGTTGGATGCTGTTGTCCAGGGGAGCCAGGGTAGGCAGGCCTCCTGTTCTAGTTTAGTGTATGACACATGCTCTGCCCCTGCATGTTTGTGTATGCACCTGTGTGTGAGCAAAGGAGTGCATAACTGCATTTCTTTGGGTTCCCACTGGTGCATGTGGGAACTCAGTTGGGTGGATAAGGAGGCCCTTGCTTTTATGTGTGTGTGTGTGTGTGTGTGTGTGTGTGTGTGTGCAAGCGCGCACATATGCGCGCGCATATGCAGTGTGTGTGTATGTGGATTAGGGAGTAGTTGTGCATTAGGGAGCTGTGTGTATCTCTCTGTGTGTATTAGGAACAGTGTGTGTATTATTATTATTATTGGGGAGCTGTGTGTATGTGTGTGTATGTATTAGGAGCAGTGTGTATGTGTGTGTGTATGTATTAGGAGCAGTGTGTATGTGTGTTTTAGGAAGTAGTTGTGTATTAGGGAGCTGTGTATGTGTCTGTGTGTATATTAGGAGCAGTGTGTATATATGTGTGTATATTAGGGAGCAGTGTGTGTGTGTGTGTGTTAGGAATAGTATGTGTGTATTAGGGAGCAGTGTGCACATATGTGGGTGAATTAGGGAGGTGTGTGTGTATGTTGGTGTATTAGGGAGCAGTGTGGACATATGTGGGTGAATTAGGGAGGTGTGTGTGTGTGCATGTTGGTGTATTAGGGAGCAGTGTGTACATGTGTGTGTATATTAGGGAGATGTGTGTGTATGTTGGTGTATTAGGGAGCAGTGTGGACATGTGTGTGTATATTAGGGAGGTGTGTGTGTATGTTGGTGTATTAGGGAGCAGTGTGTACATGTGTGTGTATTAGGGAGGTGTGTGTGTATGTTGGTGTATTAGGAAGCAGTGTGTACATGTGTGTGTATATTAGGGAGGTGTGTGTGTGTATGTTGGTGTATTAGGGAGCAGTGTGTACATGTGTGTGTATATTAGGGAGGTGTGTGTGTATGTTGGTGTATTAGGAAGCAGTGTGTACATGTGTGTGTATTAGGGAGGTGTGTGTGTATGTTGGTGTATTAGGAAGCAGTGTGGGGGAAAGGGCTGGATGTGACAGGCAGGAGTTCAGAGCTGGGGGCTAAGGGATCCCTGGTCCCTGGTGTCTTTCTTCCTCCTCACTCTATGTTCCTCTCCCTCCTCACTCCATGTTCTTCTCCCAGGTCTTTTCAGGGCCGCGGTTCCCAGTGGAGCCTCCACTGGGATTTATGAAGCCCTGGAGCTACGGGATGGGGACAAACAGCGTTACTTAGGCAAAGGTGAGGCTTCTCTCCTTCCCCAGCCTTCCCACCCCTCAGCTTTATATTCTGACCTCACAGCAGTCCCTAAGTCTTTTCTTGCCTCCTCCTCCTCCCTTCTGGCCCCTCCCAGCCTGACCCAGCCTGGCCTCTTTGCCTCTCCTCAGGTGTCCTGAAGGCAGTGGATCACATCAACACAACCATTGCACCAGCTCTCATCAGCTCAGTGAGGCTCACTCTCCGCTGGGGATGGCAGGAGAAAGAATCCTGGGCCAGAGGAGGAGGGAAAGGGTGGGGGGAGGCATGGTTACTAAGGGAAGGGTGGGAAGATGACCCCTCACTGTTGTCTGCTCCCATGGGGGTCAGGCCCCCTGGTCCAGACAGGCCGCTGTCACAGGAACCTGGTTGGTCCCTGGCTGGCTGTGAACCTGTGTGAGGGGGCCTGGGTCTTGGGGCCCAGCCTCCATGCTGGCCCTGGGTGATGGTGGCTCTGCCTGCAGGGGCTGTCCGTGGTGGAGCAGGAGAAGCTGGACAACCTGATGTTGGAGCTGGATGGGACAGAGAACAAATGTAAGCAGGGGTCAGGAGAAAGTGGGGAGGCCGAGGGTGGGGATGCGTGGAGCAGAGAGAATTGAAGGAGCCAGTGCTGCTGTGGGAGCTTCCTGAGGGTGGACTTTTCATCCTGTCCCCAAAACCAGAGCAGGAGAAGGTGAGTTAACTATGGTGTGTGTGTGTGTGTGTGTGTGTGTGTGTGTGTGTGTGTGTGTGAGAGAGAGAGAGAGACATTAGACCATTAGATGGAGGAAGAATTTCTTTGCAGCATGGAGGGGAGGGAGTTGGTGTGAGATAGTCTGATCTTGGATGTTTAGAAATACATACAGCTCTCTGCCCTTTCCGGTCACCTCGCTCCAAATCTGCTATTTCAGGAGAGAATGGACTAAGGAGGGAGGAGAAGAGGGTCTCCTTTATTGCCTCCTTCGGGGAGTATACGTGGTGTCAGGGCTAGAAGAGGAAGGGGACATTTTTGCTTAGTGCCTTCTCCTGTCATCTCCCAGCCAAGTTTGGGGCGAATGCCATCCTGGGTGTGTCCTTGGCCGTGTGTAAGGCAGGGGCAGCTGAGCGGGAATTGCCACTGTATCGCCACATTGCTCAGCTGGCCGGGAACTCAGACCTCATCCTGCCTGTGCCGGTGAGCAGCCCGCCATGCCTGTGCCTCTCCCAGGGGTGGGGTCCGGGGAGCATGAAACCTTGTGAAGATGGATGGGAAGATAGGAAGTTGGGGTAGCTAAAGAGAAAGGATGGGGACATGAGACTCGGAGTCTGGGGAGCTGGGGGGGAATTTGGGATGTTGGGTGGATGCTCCCAGGGGCAGAAAGGAAAATGCTCAGTGACTGTCTGGTCTGTGGCTCCCAGGCCTTCAACGTGATCAATGGTGGCTCCCATGCTGGGAACAAGCTGGCCATGCAGGAGTTTATGATACTCCCGGTGGGTGCCGAGAGCTTTCGTGATGCCATGCAGCTTGGGGCGGAGGTCTACCACACGCTCAAGGGGGTCATCAAGGACAAGTATGGCAAGGATGCCACCAACGTGGGAGATGAAGGCGGATTTGCCCCCAACATCCTGGAGAACAGTGAGGGTGAGCCCAGGACCCTCACTCCCAGCGCTGAGTCGCACTTCATCCTGGGCCATTGGGAAGGGCCACATACTCAACCATGTCCTGAGGAGTATAGGTGATGGTCCTTGACTCCTGCTAGCTGCAGAGGGCCTGGCAAATTCACATGCAGGCCTGGAAGAACAGTCCTCACCTGCCCAGCCAGGCTCCTTAGCGACTAGGAGTTCTTGCTGGAGCCCCTGGGAATGCTGGAAGGTGGTCAGGTCTCCTGTGAGATCCATGCCAGCCTTTAACTCCTTAGGGTTCTCAGTTGGATGAGATATACCAAACTCGAGGTAATCTATTCTAAATCTATCCCATTCTCACCCCAACCTCGTAGGCCTTGAGGATCTCTAACTTTTTCCTGCCCTGGGAGAAACTGTGTAGAGAATAGAAACAAAACCCAAAACTGGTGGTGGCTGAGAGTTCAGGTTCTGAGGCTAAAACTGCCTGCCTTTGAACTTTGATTTGAAGACTTACTGGCTGGTGATCTTTCTTACTTATTTTGTCCATGCTTTGTCTTTAAAAAAAATATTTTTATTGATTTCAGAGAGGAAGGGAGAAGGATAGAGAGAAACATTAATGATGAAAGAATCATTGATCAGCTGCCTCCTGCACGCCTGCTACTGGGAATCGAGCTGGCAACCTGGGCATGTGCCCTGACCTGGAATTGAACCTAAGTTGATGCTCAACCACTGAGCAACACCGGCCAGGCCATGCTCTGTCTTTCTTATCTGTAACATGGGAACACTAATAACAGTATCTACTTCATAGCATTATTGTGAGGATTAAATGAGATCAGATATGTGAAGCATAGTTAGTCCGAATAAGTGATTTATTTATTTATTTATTAAATATATTTTATTGATTTTTTTTACAGAGAAGAGGAGAGAGGGATAGAGAGCTAGAAACGTCGATGAGAGAGAAACATCAACCAGCTGCCTCTTGCACACCCCCTACCGGGGATGTGCCCGCAACCAATGTACATGCCCTTGACCGGAATCGAACCTGGGACCTTTCAGTCCGCAGACCGACGCTCTACCACTGAGCCAAACCTGTTTCGGCCGAATAAGTGATTTAAAAACACTGTTGCCCTAGCCGGTTTGGCTCAGTGGATAGAGCATCTGCTTGCAGACTGAAGGGTCTTGGGTTCGATTTGGGCCAAGGACACATGCCTAGGTTGTGGGCTCAATCCCCAGTAGGGGGTGTGCAGGAGGCAGCCAATCAATGATTCTCTCTCATCATTGATGTTTCTATATCTCTATCCCTCTCCCTTCCTCTCTAAAATCAATAAAAATATATTAAAACAACAACAACAAAACAACACTGTTATTAACAGAAGGCATCCTCTGCCTTCCTGGAAGATGGCCTGCTCTTCCCAGACCTGGAGATAACCCTGACTGGAACCTTAGCCAGCCTCCTCCTTAGCAAGTGCTCTACCACTGCCCTTCATTTCTTCCTTTCCCTCCTTCCTCCTTGTCTGCCCTTCCTGCTAACAATCTCACTGTTTCATCCCCAGCCTTGGAGCTGGTGAAGGAAGCCATTGACAAGGCTGGCTACACAGAAAAAATTGTCATTGGCATGGATGTCGCTGCCTCAGAGTTCTATCGTGATGGCAAATATGACTTGGATTTCAAGTCTCCTGCTGACCCCTCCCGATACATCACTGGGGACCAGCTGGGATCCCTCTACCAGGACTTTGTCAGGGACTATCCTGGTGAGAGCAAGGCGGGGCATGGAAGAGAGTGCAGGGGGAGGGCAGCAGGCGGGTAACCGGACCTTATGGGATGCTACGTGAGGTGCCAGGTGGCGGGATCCTAAGAAGGACTGAGAGCCAGGGATGGGGTGAAGTTTCCTGCAGAGCCTGGGCTTTGTATGTAGTAAATGTGCAGGTTCTTGTGATGAATTTGTTCCATCTGCTTCAGCTCCTCATTAAAGTCATGTGCTCTGAAGCTACTGGGGTCATGGGGAAGGCTTTGGAAGAAACCAGGGATGGTAAGGTGATTGGGCCTGCCAGGAGCCAGCCATTTCAGTATTTCTGATAGATTAAATTGTGGATGCTGAATGGAGCTGGAAGTCATGTGTGAATAGAACAGAAGGCTGATGAGGAACTGAATGATCCTTCAGTTCTTCCAGAGCTTTAGATATGAATTGCAGAATGAAGGATGATGATGAGTAATGAGGAAGGACTTCCTGGTAGCAAAAATATGAAAATGCAGATAGGTTGTGAGAAAGACTCGGAACCCTTGTTTTTTGCAAGTTTGTGAATGAATCAAGATGAGACTCCGTTAGGGCAGGCTTAATTGGGGATGGGGGAAGCAAGGAGGAGCAGCTCAGTTAATCAGGGCATCTGGCTATTTCAGGGAATCAAAGTATGTGTGTGTGAGGTTCCTGCCTGGTACAGAGTCCCAGAGAAGATCAACAGCCCCTTCACCCCTCTCCCTGCAGTGGTCTCCATTGAGGACCCCTTTGACCAGGATGACTGGGCTGCCTGGTCGAAGTTCACAGCCAATGTAGGGATACAGATTGTGGGTGATGACCTGACAGTGACCAACCCTAAGCGTATCGAGCGGGCCCTGGAAGAAAAGGCCTGCAACTGTCTGCTACTCAAGGTCAACCAGATCGGCTCAGTCACTGAAGCTATCCAAGCGTGAGTGCCTCCTGGTTCTCTCCTGCTCAGCCCCTCCCAGGACCCCTCTTGCAAAGGGCTCTACCCCTAATCCCGCCCACAGATGCTGAAGGGAGCAGGGAACCTGGAGTCACCTTCACAGCCCTCAGTTCTGCTCCCTCTGGGTTCCGAACAGATGCTCTGCTTCCCTCTCAGACAACTTCCCTCCAGATGTTTCTGAACACAGACCAACGTTGGGGCTGGGAGGAGAGGGCCCAGTGTGAGGGGCGGGGTCAAAGCTGGTGTGTGATACAGGTGCAAGCTGGCCCAGGAGAACGGCTGGGGGGTCATGGTGAGTCACCGCTCCGGAGAGACTGAGGACACCTTCATCGCAGACCTGGTGGTGGGGCTGTGCACAGGCCAGGTGAGAGCAAGGGACGCCTCTGTGCGATTGGTGGGTCCTAGGCTCAGGCAGGCCTCTCCTTCCAGGGGTCTGAGGGTGTCAGGGGAATTTCAAGGGAGTGCACGTTTCCTTTAAAGAAATGAAGGGGCAGCCACTGAGCTGCTTATCTTTCCTGATGTTTCAGATTAAGACTGGCGCCCCATGCCGTTCTGAGCGTCTGGCTAAGTACAACCAGCTCATGAGGTGAGGGAACCTGAGGGATGGGAGCCCAGGGCCCAGGGTTAAAAGCTCTGTTTGCCCCCCATTCCATACCAGAGAACAGTTTTGAAGATGGTTTGACTACTGGCCTGATGGGTGGATCTCACAGGTCACATGGGAGAGCCAGAGAAGGCCCACACTTGGGCCAGGACATGGGAGCCCCCCGGGGGTTGTGAGGGGCTTGGAGACTGAAGACCTCCTGCATCCCTGACATTTCCTTTCTGGCTCATTTCTCTCAGAATTGAGGAAGAGCTGGGAGACGAGGCTCGCTTCGCCGGACACAATTTCCGCAATCCCAGCGTGCTGTGAGCCCTCTCCTCTCCTGGAGCCTTGGACCCCCTCCACCCTCCTGGACCCCCTTCCTGTCCTGCTCTGTGATATCTCACCCCAGACACACCCTGGCTGACCCACCGCCCTGCTCCGGGGCTTGTCCCACCCCTGCTGTCTCTACTCTCCCCCTCTGGGTTCCGCTCCCTTCACGTCTCCTTCCTTTCCTCTCTCCCCGAAGACGGGCCACAGGATGAGGGTGGTGAGGGGGTCCGTGGAAGAATGGTCAGGGTCTGTTGACAGGAGCATCAGGGTTGCTTGCTGAGGTGTTCAGGGAGGGGCCATGTGTCACTGGTGCTTTGCGCCTGTTCCACGTGTTTCCCATGTTGCAGATGAACCAGGCATTGCCTGGTGCGGAGGTGGAGGGAGGATCTGGCTGCTTGGGCATGCCTGGCCTAAGGTCTTAGTGTGTTATTTATTTTTCATGGATTGTGTTGATTAATCATTTCCTCATGATTCCAGGGCCAAACACTGGCCTGACAGGAGGGGGCTGTGTATTTCATATGGCTGAGATTCTGAGATGGTCTGGGATGGAAGTCTTGCTGGAATGCGGAGGGGGAACAGAAAAGGGCCTTTGCTGGCAGTTCCTTTGTGTGTAGCAGCCCTTCACGGAAGCCTGCTGGGGCCAGAGATGGGGCTGTGCGCCCAGCACTCTTCCCCAGAACTCTTCCCAGCCCTGTGTTCCCTGTTCTTTCTCCAGCTGCCCCAGAGCAATGTCTTGCTCCCACCATGCCATGTTCCAGTTCCCACCACCTCTGACACTGAAATGAGCAGCACCATTAAAGTCTGAATCACAGTGCGTTGTTGTGTCTGAGGAGTCTGACTGTAGTTCCTACGAGGGGAGAGAAAACGGAGTCCTGGGAAGGAAGCTGGTGAAACTGGATAGCAGAGCTGGGGAGGACACAAGAGGAGGAAGACAAATAAATGTGGCCAAGATGATGACATTGCCTACCCATCCTAGCCAGGTGAGGGCCACGCTCCCCCTGCCTTCTCAGCAAAAGTTTGGCCCCAGGATCCAGCTGAATGAGCAGTTCTTTTTTCCTTTTCTAATATATTTTATTAATTTTTTTACAGAGAGGAAGGGAAAGGGATAGAGAGTTGGAAATATCCATAAGAGAGAAATGTCGATCAGCTGCCTTTTGCACACCCCCAACTGGGGATGTGCCCGCAACCAATGTACATGCCCTTGACCAGAATCGAACCTGGGACCTTTCAGTTCGCAGGCCGATGCTCTATCCACTGAACCAAACCGGTTAGGGCATAAATGAGCAGTTCTTAATCTGGTGCAGGAATTCTTAAAATCACCAAAAATGTGTTTTGGGAAAAGGTGGCCAAAGTGTTTTTAGATTGCCAAAGAGCCTTGACAGAGGAAGGTGAACCAGAGCAGCTCCCATAGTGGGCCTCTCCAAACCAAATCCTGGACGCTTCTGGGACAGAACAGCATGGCATGGCCATGGTTCCCTGGGAGGTGGGCAACGGGGAGGGAGGGATGTACCAGGGGCTGCAGAAGGGGGCCTGAGGAAAAGCTTCCAGTCAACTGGACATTCAGGAGCTGTAGTGCCCAACAGGCTAAAACTCCCCCGCTGCTGAGTCAGCCTGCAAGTAGGGTGCCAGTGGGTGGCTGAAGATACACAACTCTTCAGCTCCTGTGAAGGCTCAGCACTGAGATGGGAACCCAGGAACCACAGGACACACACACACACACACACACACACACACACACACACACCCCTCTGCTTTGAACACTAGGGGCTGTGGAAAGCTCTGGCCACTAGAGGGAGGCAAGGCTCTGCAGGACACCCAGCAGCCTGGCTAAAGGTAGGCGGGAGGAATTTCAAGGTTGTCCCCTCTGTGGGCCTCCGTCCCACTCTGAGTCCTGGTCCTGGGATCCCTCTGCCATCCTGCCCAGCTCCAGGACAAGAAGACTCCAGTTCCGCATGGGCAGAACCCATTCTCTGCCCTGTCCTTCCTGTGTCACCGATGCGTCCTCCATTTCCCGTTCAGAGAACTTGCACCCTCTCCTCCGTGCCTCTTCGTTTTCGTGCGGGCATCTCATCTTTCCCTTCTCTCCTGAGTCTCCTGGCACCTCCTCTGTTTCCCTTGGGGGCACACTATACTTTCCTTTGTGCCTCTTGGTTTTCTCTGGGGTGCATTGGAGTCATTTTTCCTTAGTAACTCCTGGACTAACCAGGCCTATTCTGGTTGGAGCCACATTTTCCATCCGCTGCCCCTTTTCTTCCTCTTCACTATATCACCTTCTCTGCAGTTACCTTCCCCCACCCCCCCAGGTCCGGGCCAGGTACTGGGTAGATTGAGTTACAGTTAGCTCTAGCTCTGCCTGGGCTTCCCAAGCCCTTCTCTCCACTTTCCCTTTGTGCCGTTGCCTGGAGACCAGTGGGTCCTGGGGGGGCTGGGGCTGGAGAGGGAGCTGGAGTGAGGGGTGGTGGTGGTATGTGTGTGTGTGTGTGTGTGTGTGTGTGTGTGTGTGTGTGTGTGTGCGCGCGCGCGCGTGATGCTCCCTGAAGCTGAATTGTCAGCCTGGCCCTCAGGTAGGGGAGGATTTGGAGGGTGGAGACCCTGGCTTTTCTTCTGACTCTCCCCATCTTCTGTTCCTACCTATGCTTAAGTTTTTCTTTCAGGCTTAGATGTGTCACCATCCTAATTCATCCTTTAGTGGTTAAAAAACGAGAGAGAATGCAGCCTGGAAGGGAATTGGGAAAGGCTGCGGCCAGGATCCAGTGGGAGACTAAACTGAGAGGTAGAGAGAGAGAGAGAGAAAGAGAGAGAGAGAGAGGAAATGCAATAGGGAGAGGGATGAGGGGGGAGGAGTCTTGGAGCAAAGTTGGGAGGTGGGGAGGAGCAGGAGCTATTCTAGGGTACTGGGGGGGGGGGGGGAGCCAGGCAGTTGGAAGGGGGAGTTGGCCTTGGCCCTTGAGGGCCCTGAGGAATAAGGAAGGCGGGCATGGGGTAGTAAAGTATCAATCAATTGAAGAGACAAAAGAGTGGTGTGATTCTTTCCTAGGCCAAGGAAACCTCTTGTCCAGGGTCCCCAGTGCTTTGGAATCCGGCTGGAGCTGTTGGGTATTCCTAGAACTTGGCTGAGCCCGGCCCAGGGAAATATGAGGCAAAATCTCCGGAGCTGATACGGAGCCAAGCTCCTTCCCAGAAGGCTGGTGGGATCCTGCCACCGAGGGCCCACCCTGGGCCTCTGGCTGTCCTGGCCGCACACGTCCCCTACCCCCACCCCAAATCTGGAGAGCTCTCGAGGGCTCCCAATCCAGACTCCAGCCCCAGCTCTTCCTGTTTCCCAGCTTGCCTCCCTCCCATTCTCTGGCAATCTCGGCTGCCAAAATCCAACCAGTGTCTTGGTGTCCTTTGTCCTGGGAGATGTTGCTGCTTGGAGCGGGGCAGGGAGCCAGCCCAGAAGACACTGGTGGTGGACTGCTGGGGGCGCTGCAGGCCGCAGACTGGGAATGGGCGGCAGACTGGCAGTGTGGAGGCTGCCCTCCTGGGGAACAGTGAGGGAGGAGAAAGTGCCTCCCGCCGGGGGTGGGGGTTGTCTCCACATTAGAATGATTGGGATCAGGGAGCGGGGCACCTGGGGATTTGGCTCCTTTTTGAGACTAATCCCTACCCCATCCCTTCCCTGGGGCCCCAAGTAACAGTGATGACTTCAAAGGAGACACCACCGGACAGAGGGCCTGAGGAAGGTGGCCCACTCCCATGAGTTAATCTCTTCCCTGCACCAGAGCCTGCCCTCCCCGTTACTTCATTTCTTTTCCTTTCCCTTCCCTTCTCTTGTCTTCTGCATCCCCGACCTTCCCTCTTCCATTAGGCCATCAAAGGCCCTGCTTATCTTACACATCCTCCCAAGCTTCTCCGCACCTCCTCCATTCTATCTACTTTGTCTAGCCAATCAAAATCCTCAGCTCTCTTGAAAACCCTTCACCCCCAGAACCCCAGCACCTTCAGAAACTGCTCCTGGCCCCACCCTTGTCACCTCCAAGGTTTCTCATGCATTCCTTTCTCCGAGCTGGCATCTCTGAACTTGTCTCTCTCTTCATCACCCCAAAATTCTTGTTTCCTATTCTTTTGCCAACACCAGTCACCCCCAAACTCCAAACTCTGCTCTCTTCCAGAAACCCCATCCTCCTACATGTCTCCATTTTTTCAATGTCTTCCCCACCTTTGACCCCAAACTTGCATCCCGTTCTCTCATAATTGCCTCCCCAACCTCCCCCTACACGTCTGCCACAGACGCCATCTCCCAGGCTTCTTTCTTCTTGTCACGCACTCACTGCCGCCGAGGCCCCCATGCAGCTCCAGCTTCCCAATCTCACCCTGTCACCCCACTCTGCCTCACCACCTCCCACCCCACCTCTGCCACAAACCCCTTTGCCCCCAAACTTCTCTCTCTAGCAAATCTACCCTCACAACCCCCAGCCCCCTCCCTCCCCGGCCCTCCGGTGCCAAGGCCCGCAGGCTCCCCACATTCCGCCCAGGCGAACCCCTCCCCGCACCCTGGGCCCCTTCGGCCTCGGTCTGGGCCAACTCGCTCGGCGCCTCCCCCTCCGATCCCCTCCCTCCTCCTCGCCGCCGCCGCCGCTCCCTCCCCCTCCCTCCCTCCCTGGCGTCTCCCTCCGGCCCCTCTCCCATTCCTCCGCGCTCCCTCCTTCTCCCTCTTCCTCCCTCCCCACCCCCTCCCGCGCTCCCTCCCTCCGCCGCCGCCGCCGCTTTCCTGTGCGAGTCGCGGACGCGCCGCCCAGCTCCCCGCAGCCCGGCGTCGGGCCGGGCCGGACTATCGGGGCCGCCGCCTGGGGAGGTCCGGGGGCGAGGGGGCGGCCGCCGGGAGGGGCGGGCGCCGCGGGCGAGGCCTCCGCGGGGCCGGGGCCGGGGCCGGGGCCGGGGCGGGCGGCGGGCGGCGGCGGCTCGGGGGAGGGACGGGAGAGCGGGCCGGTTAGCGCGGGGGCCGCGGCGGGCTGCTGGCGGGAGGGGGATGGGGGCCGCCCTCCGGGGGGGTCGGGGCCGCCGCCGCCGTCGTCGCGGCGGCGACTGAAGCGGGAAGAGGCGAGGGGGGCGGGGAGCGGCCGCCGCCGCCCCCCGTAGGCGCCGGAGCCCCGAACCCCGCCCGGAACCCGCTCGGAACCAGCCCGCCGCCCGGAGCTGCCGCCAGGTAAGACCCGCCGCCGCCCCGGGCCGGCACGCCCGGGTTCGGGCCCGCTCCCCTCCCCTCCCCCACCCCGTCCCCTCCCGCCGCCGCCTCCATTTGTTATTTCCCGGCCGGGTCCCCCGCCGCGGCCTGGGGCTGGGGCCGGAGCGGGGTCCGCCCGAGCGGGGGACGGGGTCCGGGTATCCGGAGGATCGGGCAGGTGAGGGGGGGGGTCCGGAGGACCCCGGACCGAAGGAGGCGCCGAGGCCGGGGCGGGGGCGGGGGTGAGGGGTGCCTGGGGGCTTTGGGGCGAAGGCGGAAAGGAAAGGCGAGGTGGCAGCGAGGGGGGGTGGCATACGGTCCCCGGGAAAAGCCCCAGAGGCCCAGGACCGGGTTCCCAGCCCAAACGGGTGGGGGGAGGTAGGGATGCCGGGGGATGGGGAGTGGGCGGTGGGGAAGGGGTGTGGTGGTGGGGAGAGGGGATGTGGCTGTTGAGGGAGGAGAATGGAACCTGGGGAAAGGCCAAGGAGGGGTGCACCTTTGAGAAGCCCCCCCCCCCCCAGGTGTTCCTGGGTGGATTGGGAAGGCAATGCCTTTGTGATTCGTTTTCTTTCCTCTATGTCAGGTCACCTCTGTCCCCCCCCTTTTCCC